AAGGTCATTTTAAAATGTATTTCTTGATCAAAGGCAGTCAAACAACCTTTACTGTTGCTCGGGCTATCTTATTAGCTGGCTCCCATTCTGTGATTTTGTGATGACAACAAGTGCTCCTTGCAGCGAGAAAATAACACACCTTGAGTGAAGCACTGAACAGCTCTGAATAGCGAGCCCTTCACCGATTTTTCAGAGCAGAAACGCGAGGGAGAAACTATCCCAGTTTGACGGGTAAACTGCGAAGTGTTTGTGTGTGTGTGTGTGTGTGTGTGTTCATTGTTGAGCTCACAAGGCCAATATGAAAGCAAAGGTTCACTGGTTCTCCTTGTCACCTGGGTTCCTCTGTCCTCACCTGATGTCTTGTCACTGACCCAAATGTCAAGTGCATCTGTGTTCAAGCGTGTGTGTGTGTGTGTGTGTGTGTGTGTGTGTGTGTGTGTGCGTGTGTGTGTGTGTGTGTGTGGTCAAGCTACCAAAGGAGAAGACAGATCTGGGTCATGCGGTTCCCATGAGAGTGTCGGAGCGCTACGCGGCAGATGACATGTCTGATGTGAGCGAGTGAGCAAGGAGCAGAGGGAGAGAGATAGCGTGAGCATGCATCCAGACAGTGGAAGAGGCAAGGGTCACAGGAGGACGACATCATTGCATGAGCCCCCCCACCCCCACATACGCTATACATACACATTAACTCTGATTGTGTGTACATGTGTTAGTGCACAATAAAAAAAATGCAGCAGCACTCAAGATAGCATAAATAGTCAATGACATCGTACAGCAAAATTTATTTTATCATGATCAGAGAAGAGATGATACTGAAAGCGTAACTTATTTACTATACATTGGTACCTTATAGCACAACCACAGTCATCCATCCATCCAGCCATTTTTTGATCTGCTTATCCTCACAAGGGTCGCGGGGCATGCTGGAGCCTATCTCAGCTCTCTTCAGTTTGCCAGCCAACCGCAGGGCACACATAGACGAGCAATCACCCGGGCTCACAATCGCACCTAGGGACAATTTAGAGTGTTCAGTCAGCCTGGCATGCATGTTTTCAGAATGTGGGAGGAAACCGTCGTACCCGGAGAAAACCCACGCAGACACAGAGAGAACATGTAAACTCCACACCGGAAGGCCAGAGCCGAAATCCAACCCTGCACTTCTGCACTGTGAGGCGGACGTTGCTCACCGTGCCACCCTCAGTTTCTTCTCTGTTTTGATAGTTTGAGGAAAGCTTGTGAAAAATATGCGTTAAACAATAATCAACAAGTGGATTCGAAACTGGATGGATGGATACATTTACTGTACTGTATTTGGGTTCACAGTCCACCGAAGGAAACCATAACTATGATGTGGCCAACGATAAAAATAAGTTTGACACCCCTGATATAGGTGTTAAAACTGCCTCTTTGTTGTCACTAGAGTGTTTATGAATCGCTAACTTAACAGCTCTGCAGCAACAAAAGTATCGGTATGTTATAAAATGAAAGCAACATTTTGTTACTTACTGCTTAAACCAAGAATATTACTTGATGCACATGTGACTTCAAGTACCACACTTGAAATCGCACCTTATAATTAAGTTTTTAAAAATCCGCACACGTTTGTGGGGCAGAGTGAGTGGTCATTGAGTTGTGAACTTTGCGACTGCGGCTAAATTGCTTTTAATGGATTTCATGGGGAGTCGTTCACGTGTCATTTGATTGACAAAGATGTTTGTGGGTTTGTGCTATGCACCATCGATCACAACGCATGCAAACTGTCACTCGGTGTCGCTGGGACTTCATTGACGGACTTTCTCACCACTTTAATTATTAGCCAGTAAGGCTCACACACGGGAACTGTAGTCACAACAGTGAAGTTTTCATTTGTTATTAGCTGAAGGCAAATATCAAAGGATAAGTTACACCCGGGCGATTACTTGGCAACTTTTTCACTTGATGATACAGGTGATATTTCAAAAAAAAAAATAGCTGAACTTCATTAATTATGATCCAGCTCAAACAAAATTGGCCTGCAAATTCAAAGATGAACCTCCTTCCGTTGGCGTAAAATCAACATCTGTGACTCGAGATAGCCACCATTCGCACATGAGAGTGGATGTTAACATCACACATGAGAAATGAACACAATTACAGCTTTTGAGAGGTACGTATGTGCGTTCGCAGAAAAGCCATAAATAATGCTGACTCCACCAAATGCGCTTGTTCATTAATTATGGGACAATGGCTTTGGATCAGGGAGCTGAATATATTAGCACCTCCATTGTACTGCCTTTGACAGGAACAAATAGAAGGTCAGTCTACTGTCTACTACTGAGGCAATGCCATAGTGTCTGTTTTCAAAGTCGACGTTGCCGTCTCTCTTGAAAATGTAATTGATTAATGAATGAAATGAGACCTTTCGGCACTCAAAGCATTGAGATGGAAACATTGAGTTAGATGAATGATTACTTGGTGATTGATTGATTTATAGAGTTAAGTCAAATGTGTATATCTACAGTACAGAAGTCAGACTTTCCTGCGAAACATCTTCATTGTGGACACTTTAAAATTACAAAGATGTCTCAATCGGCCCGGTTCGTCCCCTCCACATGCTGTTTATCTTCTGCAGGAATGATAAAACCATATATGAAGTAGCTTAGGGCACACAGAATCGTTTCCCTTGACTACAGGGTGCTTGTCAGAGTTAAGCATGCTTCCAGCTAACATCAAAAGTGATGAGACTGTTTTACAGTCGCGTATATACTGTAGGGGCTGCAGAGTTACGGAGCACGGAACATTGCAGCTAATGTGCAATTAAATTAACAATTAGTAGTAATGTTTTTTTTTTTACATTTTTACATTGACACCTGGTGCTTTTACGACGGTTTGTTGTTGTCAGTCCTCCATTGCCTCTATGCAAGTGGTGGAATAAAGTCTTCAGGCTCATGTTGGCAACTCTCTGCTCAAGTAAGACCAAACCAACTCAGGAGTTGTAGAACCGTAAGAAAAAAAAATAGAAAGAAAAAGAAGAAGAACATAATATGACTACAAAACCTGCATGGCTGTGGAACTCATGAAACCCACTATCAACCCTGGTGAAAATAACACTCAGCGTACAAGTCTTCCTTCCTCCACTTCATGCACATATACATTTTGGCCATGCTGCTCTTATCATGTCCCGAGGGTCCTCGCTGCAGACCTCTTAACCCCCCTTCTATGGCTGTCAGTAATTCCCTTCTCTTGGCCTGTCTGCTCTTCGCTCACTGTGCAGAGAAGCATGTCGAAGCATCAGCTTGGTTTCAAGGAAGTAGAAATCTCCTCCATGCAAATCAGTCAAAAAGACCGCTGAGGTAATTATCAGCTGAAACCTGAAGCTCCACTCTCACACTCAGCCTGGCTCCATGTTGCATTTATGAATAAATAATTGAATGAAACCCAATTATTCTTAATTTCATTTCTTCGCGGCCAAAGTCATTTTCACCACCATGTTTGAGGGAAACATCTGTTTGACAATTACCGCCATTCACAATGGCTCGACAAGAGCTGCATTTTTGGCGCAGCTGACAAGTCTGTTTTGCACTACAACATTCCTCATAGCAGATTACCATCATGTGAAGTTTTGTCCCAAGTTTCATCCCTGATGTAACTCATGATGGAAGCAGCAGAATGAATACTGAAGTATATAAAACAATTTTAGTTGACAATTTACAAAAAAAATGTACCCTAACTAATCGAGAAAAGCTTCATCATGCAAGAAGACAGACAATGCTCCAAAACACAACACCAACACAAAAAAAGACTTCATCAGGGGGAAAATGTGGAAGCTCTTAGACTGGCCAAGTCAATAACCAGACATTAAGCCAATAGAGCCGAATGTTACCTCCTGAAGCGGAGACTAAAGGGAGAACCCCTCGGGATCAAACAAGAACTGAAAGAGTTTGCAATGGAGGCCTGGAAAACAATTTTAAAATGAAGAATGCAACAGTCTGGTGAATGGCTCACAGGCTTGATGCAGTTACAGCAAGCCAAGGTTGCGCCACCAAATATAAAATGTTATTCATCCATCCATCTATTTTTTGATCCACTTATCTTCACAAGGGTCACGGGGTGTGCTGGAGTTTATCCCGGTTGTCTACGGGCAGTAGGTGGGGTACACCCTGAACTGGTTGCCAGCCAATCACAAGGCACACATAGATGAACAATCATTCGCGCTCACAATCACATCTCGGGACAATTTAGGTTGTTCCATTAACCTGCCACGCATGTTTTTGGAATGTGGGAGGAAACTGGAGAAACCGGTGAAAACCCACGCAGGCACGGGGAGAACATGCAAACACCACAGATGGAGGCCGGATCCGGAATTGAACCCTGCACCTCCACACTTTGAGGGTGACGCGCTCACCAGTCGACCACCGTAACCTGGGCGTCATCCTGGACTCTACTCTCTCCTTTTAGTTGCACATAAAAGAGGTATAAAAATTCTGTCTCCATCATCTTAGGAACATCTCCATACTCCAGCCATTACTCATTGATTGTGTGGCTCAAACACTTATTCACGCCTTCATAACCTCCCGCATAGTCTATTGTGGCTGAGCCCTGTCTGGACTAGCCAGCAAAACTCTGGACAGACTCCAATATGTACAAAACTCAGCATCCAGAGTCCGCACCTGCACAAGACCCTGGCAACACATTAACTAGATTTACACAGAACGTACACATTGATATGGGCTGAGTGTAGGTTTGTTTACTGATGGTATTTACAACCAGTGAACCAGTGAATACTTCTTATCACAGTGCGTTTTTATAACTTGGCCAAATGGGGAAACATGTCCTCGATCTGCATGGTTGTAATTTGCAACATTTCTTCAGCACACATACACGAATGAGGATACACTTGACTCAACTCAACTTTATTAATAGAGCACTTTAAAACAACCACTGTTGCATACAAAGTGCTTTACAAGTACTTTCCCATCACAGTACCTTTTGCCTATTTTTAAAAGACCACCCAAGCCCACTTAAAATTTAATATATTTTTATTTTTGTAATTATTACGTTGTTCAATTTGTGTTGGACATATCCAAGAAGTCCTGTTAACAGTTTTAGTCAGAAGATATTTAGGAACCCACGCAGGCAGGTGAAGACAGCTCAAGGGTCCTTGCGGGTCCTACTCAGAAAAGGTCTTTATCGAAATCGGCGTGTTAATGCCGTGTCTCATGTGTTTGACCGTACATGTGGGCCATTAAAGGCAAAGAAATGTCACTCAAGTGTCTTCACCCAAGCGATAACAGAGAAAGTAAAAACAATAAATTAATAACACAAATACAGCAGACACCATAAAACACTAAAACAAAGCAGAGTCTCATGCCAAATCAAGCGTTATAAAAAGTGGATGGATGCAAATAATCGCATACTTCTTTTTGTGCACTGGAATAATTCCCTGCTCTCCTTTCATTTTAATAGTCTGGTCCAAAAAGTTGTTAAAAATCCTGCTGGATCCAAGCTTTTTTCCCTATAACTGGTTCTTTCCTCACAAACACTGTGGATTCAGAAATAGATGACAATTTAAAACAATTATGGCGTCAGAGTAATTTCAAGTGGCTTTGCCCCCTCTTAAAACTAAAAACCCATGATTAGCAACTAGACAGGTCGACATAGAGCTCTAAACGTCATTGTGGAGCAGTAAAATGACCTGATCTGTACAACCATGACTGTGCACACACGCACACACACACAAAAAAATTGACTTTTGACATTTAACAAATTACAGGCGCAACATCGAAGCACTTGGCACACAGCATTCATGACGCACCCTGGAGGAGCATTTACAGCAACGGGGGATCATTTGAGGAAGGTGTGTGCCTCGATAGTTTCCAGCTAAGTAGTTTCAGAGTTAATAGCTGGCGGGGCGACTGCTCTGTACGGAGCATGGAAACGCCGCCGGAAGAAGGGGAGGCGAGCGTGCTTGTCAAGCTATGTCAACGTGGATTTTGAACCTCGCTCCCATCAATCCATTTTGCTAATCTACGTTCTACGCCAAACAAGATGAATGAACTTCTCACAAGGACCAAGAAAACCTTGCACATTCTGGCGCGTTCTGCTTAACCAAAACCTGGCTCAGCTACCAATACCCGGACACCAGGCTTCACCTTCATGGCTTCCGTTTCCACCGGGCGGACCGCGACACGAAACTATCATGGAAATAAAAACGGTGGTGGAATATGCTTCAATAGCAACAAGGAATGGGGCGCTGATGTCACAAATCTCAACACACACTGCAGCCCGGACTTGGGAGTCACTGTTTCTAAACTGTAAGCCAGTTATAATGAATACTGGTCAGAGCACCGAAGTACAGCAATAATAAATGGAATAAGTGTGACTGCAAAGTTAAGCTGCGATAAATTGGCCTGTCGATGACGTCAGCCGCAGTACACAAGGTTTGGACCAGGGATGGGCAACTTCAATGATGGAGAGGGCCACAATTTTTCATCAGCACTATCAGTGGGCCATATAAGACTCCATACTTCTTAACCAGGTGTTTCATTTTTAAGAGGGATGAAATATGTGCATGTTTTTTAACATTAAAAAAATAATAATAATTTAACCTACCGGTATGTAAATCAAGTCTCTATCTTAAAATATGTCATGCTGAAATGCATGCATAAAATATGTGCTATTCAACAACAAGCAAATAAACCACATAGTGATTTTTTTTTTCCCCAGTGACCTTGTGGATAAAATCTCCTATTCAAAAATCGCACAAAACTGCTAAACACGAAAACATTAAGTGCAAGAACACATTTTAGGGATTTTTTTTTTTTTTAAACATAAATCAACTCACACAAAGATTTTACTATTTTAAAATGTTTGTACTGCATGTCATTCAATAACTCACCTGTACGATGCAGTACAGTATTGGGCAGTTCACTTTATTTTGTAAAGGAGCCCATGTGCCGCATGTTGCCTTTCCCTGGTCTAGATTGGTCTCAAATTGGAGGCCACAGACCATTTCCATGTCCGAATCCTTTCTGTTTACTGGCTTTTTTTTGCATTTTGGCAGTGGTGTCTACAACCACAGAAGCTTCTCAGGTGGTGCACCTCAACAAGGATTGTTATGTCTCCCAGCACTGTATCCATGGAGGAGATATCAGGAGATGTAGCGGGGAGCCCCAGGACAACAACCCACCAGCAGGGCTGCTCTCTGTCCCTTTGTGGGAAGAGGAACAGGATGAGCACTGCCGCAGCACTACAAAATGACCTCCAATAAGCCACTAATGTGCATGTTTCTACTCAAACTGTCAGATACGTACTCCGTCCGTGATGGCGTTACGAGGGCGCGACTCACAGCTCAATGCGGTGCAGTCTGAGTGGCATTTTCCAGAGAACACCACGAATGGCAGATTTGCAACCGGTGCTCTGGGCTATTCATGGGTAACAGTCGGTTGAAACGTCCCGGAGAAATTTCTGCTGCGTGCAGCATCCTCTAATACGACCGCTTTGGCGGTGGCTGAATGAAGGACTGGGGAGGCATGTTTCTTGGAGGACCGCATAGACCTCCTCACTTTTTGGGGGTGGGGATGGGGGTGGGGGGATTGAGCTACTGCAGTGAATTAAATTTTCCACAATATCCAGATAGAACGTGAAGTGTGAACTGACAGAAGAACTTTCCCCACATTGTATGATTACTCAAGATAAGAGTATCAACACTGTTATGTGGAATGATTTAATGGCGATTTAATACGATTCACACTGACATTTTGGAAATGATTGTGCCGTTGCTTTGACATGAAAAGATAGCAATGAAGAAACAATGGGGAAAAAAAAAACAAACTAAACCAGGAAATGTTTAATTTAGAGTGTTAAGTTGCAGAATGTATTTACATTAATTACAGTTTTTGCAAGAATATTATGTACTGTAGTTTGTCTTTGACAGCAATTTTAACCATGCCCTCTTTGTCTCACGTTCGGTATGTCCACTCACAATAGGATCTGGTATTTGAGGGTACGGGGGACCCTGTTGATGACTAGGCGTCCATCATAGCTGAGCGAGGCGAAGAGCCACGGATCGGCCGACGACCACTCAGCCGCATATACGCTGTCTTCATGCTCCTCGTAGGTGGACACCACACTGTCCTTCAGAGGCTCCTTGCACCTGCAACACAAGCAAAGACAACACGTGAAGAAGCGGCAAGCTGGAAAGATGAGACAAAATCTGTCATACCTAATACCAAACGGTCATGTGCAATCCTGCTGATATTACTCATTTCATCATGCGAGCACTGATTTCAGTCCGTGTGAATCATGACGGGTAGTTGCAATCAGAAGGGCCTTCATATTCAATCTCAGTGCAAGTCTGTGTATATAGGCAACATGTCATGCATACCACATTTCAAATTTGGATTTAAAAAAAATAAAAATATTGAAGGAAGCAGTTTGCTTTAAACTTCAAAGATCAAATATCTTGATCGCGTGTGGCTTGTTCATCCTTGTATTGTTAATGATTAGTCATAATTATAATGTACGACGCATGTTACCGCACCCCCATCTATTTGTAAGGGATTATTTGTGGATTCACAATCACATCCATTTAATATCACAAACAATTAAACGGATAATTCATTACATCAAGGCCAAGACATGGCTTGCGTTCCTGCTTCAGTGGTTCAGTGCAATTGTGTCGAACTAAAGAGTAGCACTGCACAGTTTGGAGGAGTTACAGTGGATATAAAACAACTGCACATACCCGTTCAAAGGCCGGGTTTATGTGACTTAAAACAATGAGACCAAGATAAATACTTTCACTTTTTTTTTCACCATTAATGTAAACTATGACCGAGAAAACTGAGTTGAAAATTTTGTCATGACAGAATGGTTCACAGAACATTTTCACATGAATCAGTGTGTGGCCTCAATATTCAAAAGTGTCACGCTGGATGCAAGGCACCAAACAATTTTATTGGCAATTAAATCATGGAATCATGTAAGACAAAGTGAGGGGATATAAAATAGAGTGGGTGATGAGGCTCTGAGCTAGGGCCAGGTCATTCACACCTTGGGGAGTTTTAGGTTTGTAGTTGGTGATTTACCGGTGTGCTCTCCAAACAGCCACACCGTGTTGTTGACAGTGAACTGCAGCTGAAAAAAAAAAGTATTTTGCCTCCTTTAAGCTGCTTTCGCCTCTATTTCTGAATGCCGTCAGTTTCAAAAATCCATCTAAGCTTTGCTGTTGTTGTAACATGCCTTGGTGCATGTTTGGCACAATGTATCTTCACAGAAGTTCTTACAGTATATGACGTCACAGTATACGAGTACCGTATTTTCCGCACTAAAAGGCGCACCTAAAAGCCTTCCATTTTCTTAAAAGCTCACAGCGCGCCTTAAAATCCATTGCGCCTTGTGTATGGTTATTACGATAATATGTCGACCCCAAAATGGGTCCTCGCTAGAGACATGCTTACAATGCAGAGTTCAAACTTAAGGCGATCGGGTTACGCAGTTGAACACGGAAATAGAGCAGCGGCAAGGGAGTTCAATGTTAACGGGTCAGTGTTATAACTTGCTGTTGGTGAAGTGAACTGTGTTGCTGCTTTATTAAATACGTTTTACTGACATCTGATCGTTCTGTAGCAACGCCACTCAACAGCTAAGCTATCTTAGCCGTTGCCGTTTGTTCAAAGCTTCTTTGATCCGTGACGTGGGTTGCGTCTGCGCTGATTGTTGAACCACGTGCGTACCGCTCGCGCTCACGCGCGCACAGCAGAGAGCAGCAGACTATGGACTGCTGAGGCGCGCTTCACTCGAGTGGCATTGCTACGGTTGAGTTGGCATTTCCTTGAGCGTAGCTCCATCTAGTGGATGCATTGTAGATTGCGTCTTATAGTGCGGTGCGTCTAATGTATGAAAAAAAAAATACAAAATAGGCCATTCATTGAAGGTGCGCCGCATAATCCAGTGTGCCTTTTAGCGTGGAAAATACGATACTCAAATAGAATGTCTGTCACCTCCCAGTCTGTTGTTTCCAAACACGCGGGTAGCTCCTCCACAGTCTCACTGGTACATCTTTTCGATGCATTTACAGGAAAGTCCGCTCCGCATCCAGAGTGTGCTCTGCAACCACGCGCTGAGCCTAGTGCGCGTCTGTGTTCGCTGGCATGTAAACACGCCAGAATGAATGGTGCGAACTCATGCCTACAGTAGAAACAGACACCACCACTTTTGCTGTTGCCAGACAGGTCTGGATGACGATCTGGGCAGAAAATATGAAATCTGTCCAGATGTAATGCGCCGTCCAAGATCTACTCACAAAGCTATGTCTCAGTGAAGCACAAAAGACAAGAGAAGGAAAAGTCCCGTTGCCCTTCATCAGAAGCACCACCTTGTCCATCTTTGTTCCTGAGTGAGCGTACAATGGTGTGGAAAATCCCAGGTCTACGGATTTGCACCAGCATGTTAGTCTCTTCTACGGCGTCTCACTTGTTTGGTCCAAAATAAAATATACCAGTGCCACAGCAGGTCTATTTAGAGGTGTAAGAGCAGCATACATGTGACTGGTCAGGAGGGCCAGCTGTGTCCTGGGCTGCTCCCTGGACACTCTGGAGGAGGTGGGCAACAGGAGGATGCTAAAAGCTATGATGGACAGACAGAGGAGAGGTACCGCCGCTCGATCTTGCCGACTGCCGTCAGGCGATTGAATAGACAGACCTGAAAACCCGGACTCACCCCGACTTGCCCATTTTTAGTATGCTTATATTTATATTTTATAAGTTATATTTATTTATATACTTTTTGTACTTCTACTTCTCCCTTTCATAATTTTGCTGCTGTAAATTGGGAATTTCTCCATTGTGAGATAAATAAAGGTTTTATTCTCTTATGTTATCTTATTAATACACAAAAACAGATGAAACAGAATGCACCAAAGGACCAGGGCACACATATATGGCGTCATCTTGGTCATTGTCCGATAAGGTGGAGGGAATTATGAACAGTTCCAGTCAACAATATTACCAGTCAGTGTTATAAGAAAGCCTGTAAGTAACGACCATTAAATCGAAAATGAGTGAATTATTGCAAAAAAAAAAAAAAAACAAAGTTTATCTGTTTGAAACTTAAATAACTGAATAGAGGTTGAAAAGGATTTGTACGGAGGCATTCTGTTTTCGTTAATGTTTTACACACCATCCACACTTCATTGGAATTGAGGTGTGGAAAATTCACCATGACCATCTTTTTCTTTTTGTGGCAAAATACTACAGAAGGACATTTATTGTATTGTAGCATCTCTGTAACTGAGGCAACAAATGTTATAGTTGGTCATAAACAGGCTCAAAAAACACATCAAACTAGTTGTCAGCTCAACCAAACTTCTATGGCAGAAGGCAGAAGGTTGTGCAGAGCTGTGCTTAGAGCAGTTTTATAGACAAATGACACCATTTATAGACATACAAAGAAAAAAAAATTGAGAGGCACTGGCTTAGATAGAAGTTTTCCCACCTCACGGGCTCACTAGAGGCCCAGACTTGCTGATCCAACTACAAAGACAAAGCATTAAGCAAATAACAGTGATGTTCGATATGTGATTGAAAAGGTAGGATCGGGTAGATAAGATGGCAGCACCAATCGTCAACGACTTACCATTGTGTATGGGCATGCTCAGCTGTTCACTGTACTCGCTCTTCATAAGCACAGAAATGTTTGACAATGTGTTTGAAATGCTCTTCAAGTGTTTTGAGATCATTGTTTGGGTAAAATTTATGGCAAAACTATTCATACATAGGCCTCAATTATTCGCGGAAAATGGCTATTTTGCCCCGTGAATATTGGGCTTCCACCGTATTAAAGTTTACATCTCAAGGTATGAAGCAAATATCGTCTCAATTTGAAAATACTTCAGTATGGTGCCTGGGAAACCTGGATTCATGAAGAGTTGATAATAGGGTATGAGGGTCTGTCATCGAGTTAACAGCTATAGCTCACAAGTGAGAGGAGTGGGAACGCCAGTGATTACTGTATTTTCTGGACGATAAGTCTCATTTTTTTTTCATAGTTTGGCCGGGGCTGCGACTTATACTATGGAGCAATTTATGTGTGAAATGATGAACACATCATATCATTTCACGTTATTTTCACATTAAACCGCAAGAGGGTGTTCTTGGCCGGTGTTGGTACTTTCTACATTGGCGGTAACTGATAAAAAGCACTAACGGTGACTCTGATGTAAGCGACGTAGAAGAGGGAGCACCGCATCTTCTACCTCCGGAGTTCACAGAGAAATTTAAAAATGATACAGAGGATGAAGATTTCATTGGATTTTGTGATTTGGAGTGACACTGATGGTTTGGTCAACTTGCTAGCATGTTCTTTATGCTAGAGTTATCTGAATAACTCTAAATATGTTACGTGAACATACCAGGGACGTTCTCAGTTCGTTGTTTATGCGTCATGTAACGTTAGCATATCGTACACTTATTCAGCTTGTTCTCTTTTTAATTTTTATTTTAAATTGCCTTTCAAGATGACATGTCTGTTCTTGGTGTAGGATTTTATGAAATACATTTCCCCCTAAAATGCGACTTATACTCCAGTGTGACTTACAGTCCGGAAAATACGGTAGTGAAACATTGTTTTTAAAAAAACACAAGATCATAGTTTTTTTTGTTTTGTTTTGTGACTTTTTTAGGTGGGGGTAAGGTGCTAAACACAGAAGTTTGTTCACCTGCTTAATGGTTTCACTTTTGCTAGAATTTTTTTTCCATGTTTCAGCTCTCAAAATGACTATATATACCATACATTAACCTTAGTGTTATGTCTAGGCTCACTCATGTTATTTTAATGACATGAGGTTATGATAAAAACACGCATTTTTGTGTAGATTCTCAATCAACTCCATTCATTACTGTCTATGCCCTCATTCATCGTGTCAGGGTGCACGGAGCTGATTGCAAAAACTGCTGCTTGCCCCAATGTGATTTGGGCAAGCACACAAATATTGGCTCTCCGTGATGATTCTTTGAAAAATGTTGGTTTTCTTTTCAAACTTTGGCGCTCTTCTATTTTGCTACGCTAGGTGATGATGTGAAATTGCAGTTTGACCCTGCTGGTTTAATTTCTCATGAAGTGCAATAGAAACATCTTCTGACTGACACATGTTACTCTTACTTATCCTCCTGGTGGTTGTCCTCCCCATCGCTGAGATCTTCATCATCCACCAAATGGCCAAATGGCTCGGAGGAGATCGAAACCATGTTGGAGAGGATGAGACGGCTGTCACTGCTGGCTGTCAAGACCAGCTGGTCGTGGCTGTGGTTATAGCGGACGCTCCACACCCTACAAGCAAACATGAGTAGTCAGTATTTAACAAAAAGCATCACAAAATCAACCACAAAAAAGTGTGACAATGCATGGACAAAAGTATTGAGACAGCATATTCGATGGAAGGACCACAGTCGATATCTGGCCAGAGATTTCCTTGTCCAATAGTTAAAAAGCTCACATCGGTCCACGTTTTACTGTGCTGTAACGTTATCCATTTCACAACTTGCTTTGTTCCAGGTAATGGGTAGAAACAAGCGACTTTTCCTGATTGAGCCCCCACTGGCAGAGATTATCTTAACCTTGCATCGCGGAGAGAGACATAATTTGGCTAAAGATAGCATTGCATCAACTGCATGTAATGTGGGACTGCGGACACAAGTGTGAAAAAGTGGACAGAAAAAAATGTCATGACCTCATTCATTTGTTTATGTCCACACATGCGTGGATACATAAGGACATCGCAAAAGCAGCATCTTTTGTATCTCCGTTTCACACCATCGTTCCCAAGCAAAACCATGTCGAAAATGCACCATTCTCACAGGGGTAATCAGAAGGAAAAAAATAAAATTAAATACAGCATGTACATCCCAATGTGGTGCCGAAACATTTGCTACCTTGCAGTTGAGCTCCCACGTGGTTACGATCATTATCATAACTTTTCCCGATGTTTCCCTTGATGTCTCTTAATCCAATTATTTATGATACATAGACACTAGCTCATTCCAATCTTATCCATCTTTCTATCACTCCGGTTGTAAGTGCTTTTCCCTCCCATGCTACTTTTTAATCTCTTTCTACCTCTCTCTGTGCTTGTGTCTCTCACTCCCTTCATCTCTGTCAGCCAGGGCACAGCTGAAACGTGTAGCCGCCGTCCCCTCACAGGCAGGGATTGAGGGATCCCCAATGCTGTTGACGGAAAATCAGCTTTGGCCGTGCTATTCCTCTCGCGTCTCAAATCCGCTTCCCACGCAAATACCCTTAAAAAACCCAGACACCCTTTCCTGCTTGTGCTCATTAAACGAGCTATGCAGGTATATCACACTCACACAAACAGCCATGACATGAATATAGATATTTACATATTATAGTATGCACAAACACAAGAGAAGACTGTTAGAGAAGTGATAAAAATAAATAAATAAATAAATAAGTGGAGGCGAGAAATCTTACATGCTAACACATGCCTGTCACCGATTAAAAGTAGATGAAATCTGCAGCAATCTGTCTTTATAGGATATGTTAGCCAAATATATCTTTCTTTTGAGAAGATGCGATATCTGTGTGTGTGTGTGTGTGTGTCTGTGTGTGTGTGTGTGTGTGTGTGTATGCCTTCATCATGTAGGAGTAGTGTGCTGCAGGAGAAGCTTGGTTTAACTCCAGACACGCACACATCTTTTAATCTTACACAGGAGAGGGTCTCTCTCTCTCTCTCTCTCTCTCTCTCTCTCTCTCTCTCTCTCTCTCTCTCACACACACACACACACACACACACAAACACAAACACACACACATTTTCACACTGCTGCAGTACACTGTGTTCAGCTCTTGGCAGTGCCTGCAGCTTCACAGAGCAGAGGCTGTGCTGAAGCAGGACCGAGGCGCATTGGGCCGACAACGGTTAAACCTTTGCTGTCAAAAGGAGTAACTGCCTATTTAAAATGTAATTAGCGTATAACTACATTTTATTGCACCAGAAGTACTTAGGGCATTCAATTATTTAGGAGATAAAGCCATTAATAAAATAAGACACCAACCAACAGTGGCGCAGAGGAGTTTTCGTTGTCCTCAGTATAGTTTCTGCATTCTCCAGGAAAATTAAAAAACAAACAAACAGATAAAAAATGTAATTGTATGTTTTTGGGCAATTAAGTTTTCATGAATTTATTTGTTATTTTCTCTATGCTATCAACCTCGAGCTCGATAACGGTCGTCTTCAAGTTCAAAACGGTCAAAACATTGTACAATTTAAAAAATGAAACAGTCTTCGGAGTTCAAGCCAAAATCATATTACACGAGCGGACAGTGTACCTTATTACGTCCCTAATTCAAATGAAGTTGGGGCATTGGGTTAATCAGAACAAAAAACAGAATGCAATGATTTGCAAATCATGTTCAACCGATATTTAGTTAACTGCTAAACTTTGTTTTATCAAATAATCATTAACCTTTATGGCTGCGACAAATTCCACAAAAGCTGGGACAAATGGCAAAAAAAGACTGAGAAAGTTGAGGAATGCTCATCAAACACCTGTTTGGAACAGGCTATCTAGGAACAGGTGGGCGCCACGATGGGGAATAAGAGGAGCCTCCCTAAATTGCTCAGTCATTCACAAGCGAAAATGGGGTGAGGGTGAACAGCAGCCCTAAAATTTAAAGTTAACAATCAAGTTTATCAGTTTGAACATTAAATATCTTGTCTTTACAGTGTATTCAAGGAAATATTGGTTAAACATGATTTGCAAATCATTGTATTCTCTTTTTATTTATGTTTAACACAACGCCCCAACCTCATCGGAATTGGATTTTTAGACATGAGCTGTGTCATCTACCATGCTGAACAACTCAGTTGCAAAGTTGCCAAACGGGGGTGCAAAATTGCAGGTATGTTAATGAACAGATTGCACATGTTGTTGGTGGGAGTGTTGTACACCCTGTTGACAGCATGTGTAAAAGTGGCGGAGACCGGCCAAATCAAAAACTTTTTTCTTTTAATTCGAGAACAATAACAACAACAACATAAAGTCAAAACAAATTACAGTTCGGTATTGATTTCAGTGCAATTTTATAGCAGTGGTTTGATTTTGCACATCTTTGGTACTTGTTCTTCTGCCTGACCTACACCAGTGGTAAATACTTAACAAATAAGATAACTTATTAATGAATGCAAGCAGTAATTAATGAATTGGTTAAGTTATAAATGTATTATTTCATTATTAAATATTTAGCCGTGTAAGCAGTGATTAAGTATTGAGTTAGTGGATATGAAATCCATTTTGACTGCAGAGGAACTTTTTGTTGTACAGCCTTGTGTAAAGAATGTTTTTTTTTCCCGACTAAGAACATGATTATTTCCATGGCAGCACTTCAAAATGCACTTGCTAGTTATAAAACAATCATGCCCATGAACTGTAAACACCTCTCATGTCCCAGTAGGACTAATTCATCAAAATGAGATCCCAGAATGCTCTCCAAATGCCATTCAACTACGACTACGCCCGATTATGTTGGCTTTTCAGAGCTTAACATCAGGATCTTACTGGGATTGTCCATCAAAATTGTTGGCCATGCAAAAATGAGGAGTTGAGGGGAGACAGTGAGTCACAGTGACTCTCAGGGACACACTGTGGCGGTGACATAGTTCAAGGACAAACCCGTTTTCGACACACAGTCCCGCACACACACCCTGACAGATAGACACATGTGCATTTACAAACATATGCATGTTCGGACACACACAGTCTACCCACCAATGTGAGTGCTCCTCCAGAGTTTTGATGGGCTCCTGGATGTTGCGGACATCCCAGAATTTAACCTTGCAGTCGTCTCCGCAGCTGGCCAAGTAATACTGCCTGTTTGGGTTGAAGTCCAGGTCGCGCACCAGCTGGCCATGAGCGTTATCGATACAGTAAATCTGGCTGAGAGGAGGGAGAAAGAGAGACAGATTTGAGGAAGAAGGTTAAAAAAAAAAAATCTGAAAAGTTTGGGCAAAGTGACATTTGAAGGTAAAGATGAAAGGATAGAGAAATAAGAGGGAATGCCTATGAAGAGCAATTTTGAAAATGATATGGAAAAAAATGGAAGGGGGTGGGGGGTAGTGGATTTAAAAGAACAATAAAAACAGAGAGAGAATGATTCACACTGTCCAGACATTCCCGAGTGTGAATCTGTCAACCAAGGCCAGGCTCAATAAAGAAGCTGACATCCGGGGTTGGTTTATTATAAAGGCAACTACACAGCCTTGAGTTCCTGCTAGTTCGAAGTTAATATAATGACATGACAATGGAACAGGGAAGCTCTGCATTGTGTCTGCGTCCATCTTCATGGTCACATTCTACTTCTTCAAACACTTTTGTCTACTGTGCTACTGAAACGGAACATTTGAAATACATAGGCCTTATTCACTGTCCCATCACTGTCCACTGAAAGAGATCAATTCAATGACAAAGGCAATTACTGGTACAATACCAGGAACTGTATTGGACTATGGATACAGATCTTGAAGTGCATGCAAGCAAACGTGACAGAGTTAAAAGGGTTAGTGTTATTGAGGGAGATCTCAATCATGAGATGCATTTGGCTACTGCCTATATGTATACTTGTGTTATTTTGCAGAATATTACAGGCGAATACTGCTGCCACACCAGAAAAAGAAAGATCAATATCCCAATATCCAAGTTTCATGTTTTCATGTGATAAGTTTCCATCCATTCATTTCAAGCTAAAAGGTGCTAAGCTGGGTTTCCGAATTTGGCAAAACAGTAGTAAAAGGTAGCGGCACATAGACCAAAACGTAGGAAAATACAATTGTTGATGGTGGAGTATTGACCAAGTTACCTGTATTTTCCTTCTTGGGGACAACCCAATGATTGTTATGCATTGTTGCCGCAGAACGTCACACATTTTTAATGCTGGTTTGTCATTGTGTACTGTTTTTTTTAGATATGGGCATGTCGGTTGTTTGTCTTTCCATCCATTCACACAAACAGACAAACAACCATTCAATCTATTGCAAATAAAACATTTTTTTAGGTGACATTTACTGAAGTATATTAAATAACAGTTTAATAATGAAATGGAAGACGCTCACGACAGCTCTTACTCCTCCTTTAAGCATGGATGAATAAAACAAACAAGCCACCACAACAAAAAGCAAACTTTATATCTTCAAAACCATTTCCTCTCCAGGCTCGCCTAATAAAGCTCAGCTCGGCTGGGTTATGTTCAGCAGAGTGGAAAGCCTCAAGTGTTATGGCCCAGCTGGATGCCAACAGCAGATAGCTAGCTAGCTCGTCACCCCTCTGATCACATTAGGCAATTAACATGCTAATTAAAAATCTCATTAAAATAAGGGAGGTATAAGAGAATGACCCGGGGCAAACTGCTGGGCTTCAATTAGGTCAAGACAGCTAGAAGCTTTTGTGTGCCTCTGCGACAAAATGTCTAATAACAAGTAGAGGGGAGAGTGAATATGCATTATTCAAGCTATGGACTTTGCAGCACGTCTGCAAATTAAGCATAGACTTAAACAATGATCCCTGTCAAAAGCTCAGCTTTGTCATTTAGGTTTTATAGGTGGATGACACATTTTCTAGAGTCCAAAAATGCTTTGCGCTCAAATTATTGGAATTTCTTTGGCATATGTTGAATATTTAATGCATTCAGAGAAATAAAAGCAGCATGGATAAGTTGATTTGAGATTTATGCTCTTATCAATGAATCGGCGCTATGCAGATGTAATGTATTCTCGAAAGGAAAGGAATTATTTGATCGTAGGTCACACACTTTATCTTTCCATTTTCAAACAGCAATTGAAAATCAAACATTCTAAAAGTGACTTTGACTGTTGTTTGTTTTTTTTTTTATTTAAAAATCATGATTCAATTGTAGGGTCAGATCAAAAATACAAAACGGCAGAAAAGGCCACAAGACTTCGTTTGATTTTCATCTTGAATTGCTTTTGACAGGGAGGTTTTGGGGAACGACAGAGGCTAACACCTGCATATTGCTTTTCAAGGGAAACCCAAAGCTTCTTTCTTAGCTGTCGTGGCACGTGTCTCACCGTTTCATGTGTTCAAAAGAGACTGCTGTCAAGATCATTGTCTGTATTCCGTCAACATTTCAAAAGGCACCAGTAGAAGGTAAACCTGCAAAAGCATTAGGACTGCTTCCTGGGTTTTCATGTCATTTCCTTTACATTTTAATTTATTGTTAATTTTCATCCATCCATACATCGATTTTCAACACCGCTCATCTCAAACAGGCCCGCGGGGAGTTGCTGGAGCCTATCCCAGCTGACTTCGGGCGGAAGACAGACTACACCCTGAACTGGTTGCCAGTCAGTTGCGAGGCACATATAGAGACAAACGACGATTCACAGTTGTTAATTATGTCAGATCCAAGTGATTTCTGTGACCACTGGAGGGTTCTCCTCTGTTCACAGAGCAGAGGGATACCAATAATTTTGTCCACGTATGTAAGCACCTAAATATATCCACACACACACACACACACACACACACACACACACACACACACACACGCACACGTATGTGCCTTGGCCTTGCCTCGGAAAATTTTCCAAGTCCTTGGCCTTGGCCTTGGCCTCGGAGGCAAGTCCTTGGCCTTGGCCTTGGCCTCGGGTTGCCGGTCCTTGGACACATCCCTGGTAAGCACCTAAATATATCCACACACACACACGCACACACACGCGCACACGCACACACTATTGCACGCATAATCGCCTTTTTTAACAAACAATGGTGGCAGTGACCAAACTTTTTGCCGCTACACGCCAGTTTCATGTGGAGACATATTTTCAAAGACGGACAATTAAAAGAAATCAAAACAAATTATTTCAAATATGACTCACCATTATCTACGCTTCAACGAGAGAGTGTAATCCGACAAAGTATTCAGACAAAGATGCCGTGTCATGGTGATTGTTATTCTCTGATGAATTGAGTTTTCATTAGCAAGCAGTTGTCTGAGCAGAGTTGAACATAATATTCTGGTGATGAAGCTTCACATTGTGTCACTGTTCCTCGCTGCTGATATGAAGTTATTAAGGCTAGCAACAATAGGGGGTTCGCCTCAACTCGTTAGCTTTTGGCTAACCTTGGACTCCTCTGCCAACTTCTGCCGTAAATACATGAGCACTACATCACTGGAGCCTACTGGCGGATCGACGCCAGGTCTGTAATTGGTGTATTGTCAAACATACATTGCAATTGCCTGTACGTGTATTTATGACCCCTTTTTTTGCCCATTTTCAACTTGTTTGTACAATTACGCTAGGTGAGTCAGGATTTTTTAAACTATCTGTAACAATCAGTATTACAGGCTTCACGAGTTAGCGTTCAGTGATTTCCCGAACCAAATGTGGACAATCCGTTTGGCAGCTCCGCGAATCGTAATCGTCTGTCAGAAACAAAAGAGCTTCTACCTTAGAGCAGACTTGAAACTTCAGTTTTACTTAAAGTACCAATTTCATGTTTAATTTTGAACCTGAGGCACATGATTTATTCACAGGGTGCTTTCTCCTGTGTAAAAGCTGTGACCCTGGGCTCAAGGGTGGCCAGTGTTTAACCCGTTCCAGCGTGGAATGGAACGTGCCTGCCATGTGAAAAGGAAATGGAGCAGGAAATTGGGTTAGTTTCGCCTTTTCCCTCTCCGGTGTCACAAAGCAATCCCCACTACACACACATGAACACAAAGCAACACGCTCACACATCCACTCCCTAGGCTCCAGCTAATAGTGGAGAGACCTGGGACATTTTTTTTTTTAAATGTGTGTGAGTGTGTGTTTGTATGAGTGTGGGGGATTATAGTTGTGTTCTGTCTAAGCCACCAAACACACTCAATCTACTGTCACTCAGCCAGCAAGGCTGAGTATGTGTGATGGGGGTTGATGGGGGAACAGGGGACCTATTACACACACTGTTAGGCACTAGCAGATAAAAAAACATAAAACTGGGGAAACACGCTCACAAATACTGTTGTGTTTAAATGTGGAAAACACTAAAGTAGAGCAGCAAACACTCACATAACTGTGCCTCCATCAAATCAGAGAACATTACAGCGGCGTTCATTATTTATTTACAAGCCCTTACCTCAAGGACTTAAACTTGTGATAAAACTTCTAGAGTCTTGATATTTGGTGACTTTTCAGTCTCTCTTTTTCTGTCCAAAAGACAAGACAGTTCCCACATTGTGACTGGATAAACAAATTCCGGAGGAATACCGGGTACATATAACCTCCTACTGGTTTAGTCTAGCCGATAAATCTCTCTGCTGAGGGAATCGACTGGAACAGACGGTCATAGTCACACACACACACACACACACACACACACACACACAGTCTCTGTTTCTATGACAACTGCTCTGAGAACGGATGAGGAGAAGGAAAAGAAAAATCGAACGGGTAGAGCAATCATTTCATTGCTGTTTGAAATTAAAGCCTGGCTTTGAGATTGGGCTAGCAGACAAGGATGACAGGGTGGTGGCAGGTTTGGAGGGCGGTACATCAGATGGTAAGAAATAATTATGAAGAAAGATAAACAGGTATACAAACGGAAAAGGGTGGAGAATCATCTATGGGTTTATGGAAAGTAATTAATAACCCAAACAGATCTTGAAGGATTGTTCATGTCACATGGGTTCACGATGTAAGTAAGACATTTGAGAAAGTGGCCTTATAGCTCCATGACTGATTGTTGTCTTTTACCATCTTTTTGAATCTATTCCTGTTCTCTGTCCTGTGTGCTTTTAAACACTGAGTGCCCATAATCCCTCAGTACTTTGCCAGATAGAGATGCACTGGAGTTATGGGGTCTTCAATGTGTCATTCTTTGCATTAATCACTGCACTGAAAAATGACATTACTTTTTATTTTCGTTTTGTTTTTTTTACACTGGGATCCATTAAGAATTAGGTTGAAACTGCATTTTATATCCATGCACGGTTTGGGGCAAAAGGTTCACATCATGAAATGATGCGCTCTTGGATTTATTCCTGAGATCTAATTGCAACCCCTCCACACAATCATGTCCTCTTAAATATTCGAAGTTAAAATACACAGAAAATGCAAACAAACGCATAGATGCCACCTGCCCAAAAAAATAAGGTTTAAACATCTACATCAGTGGTTCATGCAGTTCTTTTGGAAATAGGTTTTTGTTTTTAAACTCTACAAATATAGGCACCATTTTCACGCATTTTTCAGATGCACAAATATAGTAATGCGGGATGTACATGTGTTTGTTAAAGGTACATGTGGCTTTATCACGACTTATCATTTCAAAATATTCAATTTTGTTTCGTGAGTTGAATGTGCGTTTGTGGACGGCGGGCATGCACATTTATTTTTGAGACAAACGTCACACAGTTTCAAGATACAGTGTTGCCCCGCTACTTCCTGGTTTGGTTATTGTGGATTCACTCGATAGTGGATTTTCATTTGCGATCGTAATTTATCTATATATAATAGAGAAAAAATATGGACATGGAAAATGAGCCCATTAGCTGATATTCTATTACATATTTATTTAGCACAGGTAAGGAATGAAAATACTCCCATGATTTGTGTTCATTGGGCTTGTTTTGCTTTGACTCGGAAGAAATTCTTCTGCTTTGGCCATGGATGAATGGACTAACAATGCTGCTTACTTGCCGTCGTGAGAAGTGAAGCCATGGCTGCAAAATGTAAACCTAACCTCTGTCAGTCACAATTCACGATACTGAGATCATATACTCTGAATTCTTGATGCAAACAGAGAAGGTAGTTCTCTGAGAGGCTAGCATTTTTCAGACAGTGATCCTAGTGTGAAATATGCATTGGTAACAGTATTTTCAGGAAAAACAAACAAAAAACAATAATAAAATAAATAAATAAATAAATACAACAGAGGTTGTCAGTGTCAGTCGCAACATAAGATAGCTGCCCTCTGGTTTCAGCCAAGGGGAGTCAATTGTGAGTCCATTCAGAAAAAGTCCATGGGCCACAGCTGCTGCAGCAGCGGCATAGAAGAAGTAGCGGCAGCATAAAAAGACTGACCTCTTCTGGCTTAAAGGAAAAACAACCTTGAGGGAAGCCAATTATGGTCGGATTTTGTCTCCGGACTTGTGTTAAATAAACACGTGATAGAAGATCAGATAAAGGCTCGTTTTTCGCGGTTTTCAATTTCCAATTTTTTTTAAACGCGAGACGGGAGATGACACATACCTGTTCAATGAAGACAGCAACACTGCCTCCTAAAGGATGGAGGAGGGATGGTCTTTCAACACGTGAATATTTCGAACTATGTGACGTTTGTCTCAAAAGTAAATGTGCATGCCCGCTGATCCACAAACACACATTCAACTGTTCACAAGCAGACTTGAATATTTAGAAAGTCACGGTAAATGCACAAACAGTAACTCACGCATATATTTCCAGATCTCAAAACCACATGAAAATCACTAATGCATTCATTTGAATAATAAGCAAATCTCTCCCCATATTCAATGTCTTCAATAATACTAAACTCATTGTTCATTTTTATTCTACGGTCTGCCTAAGGTCATAAATACTTATTATATTATTATATACTTCTAAATATATGTTTGATAAAGTCAAGGGGGCTGGGAATATATGAAAAGGTTAGGTATAATTGATTTGACTGCAGCAAGGTTCCAAAGGTCACTCTCAAATCAAGTGGAACATATGGAAAAAATGTATTTAAAAACAGCTGAGATTTTTTTTGCATAATTGTCTCTTCTTGAATAGGAAATGTGACGGTCCTGCATAATGGTGCTGTATATGCTAATAATACTGTATATGATGAGGAAAGGCTCTGGCACAATGGTTTATCTTGGGTCCAGGCAAGTGGAAGTACTGTCGGATTTAAGATGATTTGGTTAGTGAGGTGCGTTATTGACATGAGCTTGTTTTGTCTGTCTGGAACTGATTTGATGAGGTCTACCTGGATTTTTATGGGGGTTTGTGCAGAGGCCATTCTGTAGTAAAGTACTGCAGCCACTCTTTACTGCAGCACTGCACTGATTTTAAGTATGCGCCCTGCAGTGTACACAGTGGCTGCTGGTCTGACATCTATACAGCTGCTTTAAAATAGATATCTTTGGAGGGGCTGGTATGAGTTTGAATTAACTTAGACAGGCAGTCAAAAGATTTTCTGAAATGTAGGAGCTACCGCATTTGAAAAGTTATTTGTGTCAGACACACAAATGCACAATGCAAAATTGGTATATTATTCATGCAATTAAAGTTCACAATGTGCAATCGAACATACATTGAAGCTTGGCTACGACGGAGTGAATAAACATAAAAAAACCCACGCAGGAACGGGTAGAACATGCAAACTCCACACGGAGGCCGAAGCACCTCTGCACTGTGAGGCGGATGTGCTAACCAATATGAATATATTCTTTATAGTACATAAATATACTGTCGTTTCTTTGAGTGTTGCTTTTGTTCAAAATTTCTATATGTATTCCCATCTGCTGGCTGGAGCTGTTCTGTGAAATAACAGTGGTGTATTATGATCTTTATCGATGAGTCGGTGTTTTTTGCTAACCAGGTCTCTAACTCTAAAACCCCATCCCCCCTGCTCCCCTTCACCATGCGTTGAGAGCCAAATCGGCACTCTCTCTCAAAAACCACGGCGGGGGGAGGACAGCGAGAATGAAGTGCGCTAGAACTCCTTAATTTGTTACAAGGCAGAGTGATGTCTATGTTTCCTCCATTCTATCAGGGGCTGTGATACACATCTTGTAAATATATTCTTTTCGTGTCTATTACCTCCTTCACCAACCATCCCTCTCAATCTCCTCTGTACTCTGCTGTTATCATGGTGATCGATGGCGAGGTAATTATTATTCCACTACTAGAGACCCCACACGTACACGTGCTGACCTAGCACATCATCTTATATATCACAAGTACAAACAAGCGCACCACATGCGCACATACGCAATGCTTGAGGGTACAAGATGTGCTACAGATAAGCTGTGGTTACAAGGTACATGTGAAGAAGTACATATGTCTCATGTCAAACGGGAACATTCATGTTCGGCTGCCACAAAGCGTACTTCCATCATGCCGTGTCGAGGTCCACGCACATTTGATTCGGTGACACTGCAAAGTGGACGTGACATTTCCTCTGACAGAGCATCATCATTGTTTGCTTTGTGCGTCACAAATTTTACATAAAGACAAAAGCTGTATGGAAAATATATTGTTTTTGTCTTCACTGTTTAGCGTCTGATGTGCCAATTTACTGGGAATCGAGTGGGCAAATGGCTATTTTGTACTACAAGAAACTTTCTTGGAACTTCAAATTTCGGTTTTGAAAAGTACTACCAGAGGTGGCATTTTAGGACTTTTTTAGCAGGGATGTGTTCCTCGAGCCGGTCCTTCTTCGGCTAGGCCTCAATTTCAAAATCAGTCCTTGGTCCTTGGCCTTGGCCTTGGAGGCAAGTCCTTGGTCCTTGGCCTTGGCCTCGGAAAATTTTTCAAGTCCTTGGCCTTGGCCTTGCCTCGGAAAATTTTCCAAGTCCTTGGCCTTGGCCTTGGCCTCGGAGGCAAGTCCTTGGCCTTGGCCTTGGCCTCGGGTTGCCGGTCCTTGGACACATCCCTGTTTTTTAGTCCCACATTTGACAGATTGGCATTGTTTCAGCAGCAACAGTGAATATAGGAAAAAGAAAAAGAGCACAGAAGAGAAGACATTTGCATAAGAAGTATTTTGCATGAAATAGAAAGCTGAAATCTTGTCTGTGCGTCAACTATCCAATCCAATCGATCAGCAACATTTGTTATTTGGAGTGCTCATTGTTCATTTTGCTGTTTGAGATCTGATGAATCTTGAAACGAGTTGCTTTCTTTACTCCAGCTGAAAACAAAGTCGGCAATCGCTCTTGAATCCATGGGCACAGGAATTACCGTCAAAATGAGGCCACAGAAACGACACGCTACCGGTAGCGATCGTTACCGTGAAATCCTCAGGCCTGCCATTTTGTTGTTGTTGTTGTTGTTTTGACTGAGAAATTTCCTTGTGTCCCAAAAACGCACATTATTTGGAACTGTGCGTCCCACGGGAAAATTATGCGTCTAGGACGCGGGACGCAGAGGTAACGAGATGGCTGCCTAATTCATTAGTTTGATCAGTTTTGCTTCTGTAATGGATTATACAATCAAGCTAATCAGACATTATTAAATTAATAATTATTATTGATTTTAAAAAATTACCCTTAATTTTATATTGTGATGTATACCGTCACCATGAAGGAATGCAATTGATACCGGGGTATGAATTTTGGGCCACATCGCCCAGCCGTAGTTGGATGAAATACTTTTCTGTTTGATGTGTCTGGTGCATCACCTGGGAAAAGACATGTTTGCTCCCCAATGTAATTTGGCCGTCAGGTGAATGCCCGGAGCCCCCCGGTATCCACCTCTCTGCATGCTACTACTCAGTTTGTTTTTATTTTAATAGTCATGTGAGTGTAGAATGACAGATTAATGTCACATCACAGTGGGTAAGCCCTTAAAGAAAACTCACTTCATGGTACGAAGATCCCAGCCTCTTATGGCTGTGTCACTTGCAGTAGCAAGTTGGCTGCAGTTATGGTGAGGGCTCCACTTGCCAGAGGTGAACTTCAGCTGTCCTTTTCCCTCAAGCATGGCAGTGCTGGAGATCTGCAAAGGATCGCAACTCACCTCATTAACATCTCCACTATCAACATAGCTCAGCCTGTGCAGTGCATTGAATTTTTTTTCTTCAATATACCATACTGCTACTACAACAGCAAAATCGTATTTAATGCTTAGTGTAGAGTATTAAAGTGGAAATGTCCTGTTTCATAAGTAGTGTCATATAATTTTCAGATCACCTTAAAGATCTGTTCAGTCAGCAGGCCCCGACACTGACGCATGTCTCCTCCATGGTCTGTGACAGAGACCATTACATAACATAGTGTTCATAATGTTAAGGCTGTCTGGATTTCCTTTAAATATATTGAATGGCCTCGAAAACACGGGTCACCGACCTCTTTGAAACTGAGAGCTACTTCTTGGGTACAAATTAATGCCAAATGCTGTGAACATAAAATGATCTACAATGGCACCTTGTAGTATAAACATCCCAAGTGACAGACATTTTGGAGGATATGAAATTGCACCTGTTTTTAAACATGACATGAGCGATTTATGCAAGTTGTCAGTGCACCTTAGCAGACCTGTGCTGTGCATTTTCTTCAGTTCTGAACTGATTCTCCTTTTATCTTCAATAAAGAATGTGACCTCATTTCAGCCAGCAGTAAAGGATTTTGGTAACTGCTTTGAGTTGTTTTTTGGTTTTTTTTTTTTTTAAAGAAGATGGAGATAAGAAGCCAGTCAAGGTGTACATATACACAAAAACATTCACGCTGACAATTTTATTTCCTCTTTCAAAATTAAGAGACTTTAATTTTTTTAATTGAATTAGCGTAAGACACGTTAACGCAATGCAAGATGAAAGTACTGTGAGGAGAAACATCTCACAAGCATGGCAAGAACATGCAAGCACCACTAAAACTGAACATTTTAGTTTTTTTTTTTCCAAAGAGTATGTTCGTCATTGGATATTCATCAAAACTGCTATTTATGTCTGCAACAATGAAAAAGAAAATAAGCGAAGACACTTCAAGCGGTTCACACACACAGTCTTTTGTCATGAAAGTCCAAAAGTGGAATGATATTGATTCGACAAATTGCATTTGGATTATTTTTCCACGAAAAGTAAGATGGACCAAACAGACATAAAAACATAATAATTCTCATGTTTTCCCTTCCCTCTAACTGTCTGCATGCTGATCATTCTCATTTTCGGTATATTTTGTATTTGCCCCACAGTCACGCTGTTTATGCGGTGATCATCAATCGAGCTGTCGCCTCACAACTCATGGGAACCCTCTCATTATTTCTCCAACAGCACAACGACAATGCCAGAGAGCGAGTGAGTGAACAGTACAGAACAATGCTGCGAAGAGTAGGCAAAGTGCTGTCCGAGAACAGACGGAAGGTGTGAGTGAGAGAGAAGCAGGAAAGCAGAAATGGTTAAAAAAAAAAAGACCACTAGGTTGGGAAAAGAAGAGAGCTGGGTTTCTGTGTTCCGTGAAAGGATTATACTGGAATTATGCATCCCCTCATTGCCGAAATATATGAAAATATCTGGGTAATTGTTGTTACATGTACTAAAAAGCCAGAATTAGGAATTCCTTCTGTTTCTTCAATGTTGCTGTCGCCACTTGGCAGCCTCTGACCAATTTTATTCGCATCGTTCCATCAATTTTGGAAGAAGGTCCTATTCCATATGTTCTTCAATTGATTATGATTGTCATCACAGTGTTCCATTGTATATTTAAGGCCTTGGAAATTCTTTTGTCCCCCTCCTCCTCACTGATACCTTTGAACAATGAGCTCCCTTTGATAATGTTGAAGCTCTCTGCAAGACCATAACTGTAAGATGCTACTACAAAGAAAAAAAAAAGCTCACTAGAACAGCTGAACTCTCTTCGGGGTTAATAAGAGGCACTTTAAGCGCATGTGTTATGCCTATGGCACAAGTGCGCTGAATCCCATTTTGAAAGAGTTTCAATGTGAACCCCGTTAGGAAAGGATGTGTTATTTATTTTACACTTCACCTCTATAAATTATTCCTTTTCTTTTTCCAACTGAGCTGTACAGGTTATAGGGCATGCTAATGGTGCAAAAGATTTTGAAATGATTTCTCTTGAACTGATTTATTTGCAAAAACCTGGAATTTCAACGGGGCTGCGGAGACCTAAAATATCCACTGCATGTGGATGACGCTCGCTCATATGCATACACGCTCATCCAAACACCCACGGTGAAGACATGATAATCTGGTGGGAAAGAAATAGATAGGTTGAAATGAACACACAACCCACTGAAAGAGGAAATGGGAGACAGGAAAACCAGGGTGGGAGAGGGAACAGGGAGGAAAGGAGAGATATTAGCATTCTCATCAGTACAAGAGGAATTTGTCTTGACTGCCAAGTTTTTTTCCTTCTCTTTTTCACTCCCTCTCTCCTAATCAAGCACACTCTCTTCCCACATCCATACATCCTCTTCTGCCTTCCAGCCTGCATCTTTCCAATCACGCTTGGGCGTCCGTTGCTCCCTCCATCTTCCTTTTCTCATTATACAGCCTCCCCCGATTACTTTCCAAGTCTTCTCTTCTCCCTTGATATGGGATTTAATACCTCTGCTGTCCAGCGTTGGTGTCAGAAGATAGGATTAAGACCTCACACGCCCCTGTGGTAGTACTCAACCTCACATTGGGGTCACTACTTAACAGAGCACATCCAATCTGAAAGCAGTAGTCCAAGTATAACCTTTATAAACGATGGAACACTGAAAATCGTTGTGCACATTCGCTCTCTTCATGGGGAAATGACTTAACTTCACAAGTAAATTAAAACAAATGTGAACAAAAATATTGATGCACTTCTCGATATTTAGATTTGGACCCTTAAATCTTGACAAGCCTGACCAACTCAGTAATTATTAGTGACTTGTGACTTCACATATAGTTTTCTAGCTCAATTGACAATAATTGAGCCACCATAAAAAATCTTGTAGCAAGTCTTCCCAGAAGAATGAAACCAGAACTTTAATCATAATAGGTTCAGGATACATACATGGACTTTAAAATGTACAAAACAGTATTCAAACTGTGAAATGACGAATGACGATAATAAATTGAAGTTTTCTAAAACACCATGGACACTGTGCAAAATCTTATGAAAAGGGCAGCAGCCAGCACTAGTGCACATTCACCTCAGACACCCCCCGAGTAATGTATTACAGTCCCTTTGTCTGTAGATATACGTTACAGATATACGTTATTCTTTGCCGCTTTAAACAGTGCCTCCTTGTACCGACGAGAGATGAACTTGATGATGATGCTGCGGGGCTTCGAGTTGGATTGGTATTTCCTTCCTACCCGATGGGCCACATCAGCAGGGCAAAACTTTTGGTTTTCGGCTGGGAGCCCTTGTTGGCAAATAGTGATAACCTCGGGACGTACATCTTCCTTCTTCTTCTGGTAGCCCCTGCAGCCTCAAATTGCAATGTGGCCCATAGCTTTGCCGGGTCTATTACGCATGTCATACATTTCAAAACAGCTTCCTCATATTTATCCTTCCGTTTTTCAACCAGAGTAATTTTTCCATTCAACTCTTGGATCTCAAAGCATTTTCTCAATAGCGTCACTTCTTGAATGAATCAAATTGGCCAATGTGTGGACAGCATTGTCAGATGTAAGAGCGCTTTTGGTAGTCTGAAGGCAGGATAAAGTCGGTGTCTTGGCAAGCGGAGGCTTACTTGAAGTAACAGGCAGCGACCCGAAGTCATCATTCTTCAACTGCAAAGCATAGTCCGTCCGGTTGCGATAGTCATGGTCATCAAAATTAGCGAAAGCTTGACTTCCACATTCCCCCGCGTTTTTCACTTTTTCTATCCGATTTAGGCATTTTCGGTGGGTGAGGGTTTCAAAGTGACGTTGGAAATCTTTGCCTATAGACCTCATTTTACTCGGGAATATCCTGTATATCCGTTTTGCACCGAGAGCTCGACAATCTCTGTCTCATCAATGCCGCCATCTTGGCTACCAATTATCGCCTCGTCACATGTCACCCATGAAATAACCAATCATGTCACAGTAGACCAATTAAACTGGACGAGTCCGCCCTCATACTTAATATTCATCAGCCATTTGCGGTTGGAGTGCGCACGAATGAGGGCTGGGGAGCGCTGCCTGAAGAAAGAAATGCGGAAGTTTGTTTGCGTAGCAGTGCGTGGCTGTTTAAGGAGCAATTCAGAGTAAAATGAAGAATTTTGACTAGAGTTGACTGAGCATGGAAACGAGTACAATAAATACAGCAGTGTCTGCAGTGCGACCATGGATCTCTCTTTTGTTTGTTTGGCGAGTGACTCCCATAATCGCTGGTACGGACACCAGGGCGGCAAGTACGGCCATAGACCTCTCATGGATTATATAGAAGTCTCCCCAACACTAAACGGGTTTAATGTTGGGGATTAGTGTTTAGTAAAAAGGGTTTCCAAAGGCTGCACTTGCTGCGTGTTGAAGTTCGTCGACGAATTTGACTCGAGACAAAAGTAGTGACTGAGAATGTATCTGGGACGCCACGGGATAACTAATTACATTGGGCTTTTTTTTTTTTTTTTATTTGGGCATCTACCGGTGTTTATGGAAATACATCTCTATAACCTCTTTCTTTATTACTTTCACAAGTTATAACATGGAGACTCATGGCCATTAATAGGAATCGGCCAAGGTGTGTCCAAAATTATTTTTATATCCACATTTTTCTATTGCCGCTTTAGGTCAGGTGTGTTTTGTAGACTAAAAATTACGGTACTCTTCAGGGTTATGAATTCAAGTGAGAGGTGAGATAAACTGGTCATCAATTGTAGGGCACATATAGAAAACAACTACACAGCTATTCACACCCACATTTCACAACTACAGGGAATATTGGGTGGGGGTTTATGGTGAGCTGCGTATGAGAGAGATTAGTGGACTCTGCTGGTGTCACAGGGAATGAGGACGTGTGCATCTGATAGAGACAATATGGTGGTTATCAAATAATGAGTTTACTATTGTGAGATATGGTGTGTGTTTGTGTGTGTTTACAGTTTATGTGGTTTACAGTACTCTGTGTGCGTGTGCGTGTGTGTGCGTGCGTCTTACTGTGGCCTGTGTGGAGCTCTCCTGCAGATCCCAGAGAAGTACATGGTTATCAGCCAACGAAATCACACGCTTGCCATCTCCCATAGGCTCCCACAGTACGCTGTGGATTGATTCAAAACACACACACACACACACACACACACACACACACACACACACACACACACACACACACACACACACACACAAATGTTTATCAAGCACACGAACATTCCGAAACAAGCAGGGGGCATCAACTAGTGTAATCACTGACAGACGTATACCAAAGCTATCTGTACAATCTCATGAGATACAAAACACGATGGTCTGATGAAAGGGGGAAAAACGTCTGCCTTTATAAGGGTAACTCTAAACGCATGGTTGCAGGACCGCAATTCAACCGACCAGTCATCTTTCACCCCACATTCCAATACATAAGTGGATGGAAGAATGATTAAGAGTGTAGTTACTCCACCTAGTGGTAAGTACGTAAGTGATAAATGTGAGTTTCATCAGAAGTTCACACTTCTGTCAAAAAAAAAAAAAACTGTCAACATCAAAGTATAAGACTAATACTTGGTACATGTTGGCATTTCAAGTTACATCCAAAAATGTGAGCATGTTTTTAATACAGTGTAGCGTGATTAATCTACTTCAGCAGTCACATTCATGCCAGCTGCAACCAAGGTCTCAACATTGAGTCAGAAAAACTGAGTTCTGTTACTTTGTGTAGTCCTTTTATAATTAATTATAGAATGGTATGGTTTTATATAGCATTTGCATTGAGCAATTCATAAGAACAGAATGTTACAGCAACAGCCTGATTCTGTCATTCGAGTGTCCAAACACAGCAATGGGATACAGAGTCGCCTCACCGGAATTGGGAAAAGTGGTTTCTTTTGCTGTATGCCTAGCTTTGATGCAACCGGCAGTGTATGGTCTGCATAGAATTGATTCCACACCTGCTTGGTCATGCTTCACTGTGCGCCGCTTTAAGGTACAATATGTATTCGGTGCCTGTGCCTTGGAGATGAGCAGTTCCGTAAAAAGGTAGCATGAACTGTTGTTTTGGAATGCTGATTGGCTCAATCAATTACTTTAGTGCTTTGTTGGGTTTTTTTTGTTTTTAGGTTTGGTGGTTAAGAAAAGGGTGCGAGAACGCCACAATGCAAATAGAAAGATGGAAATTTTGATCCATGTCTGCTTTATAGGTGCTTTCACGCTGCCTTCTTGGCAAATTGGTGCATCCGAAGTGTGACAGTGAAGCTGAGATTTACACATAGTGTTGGCACCCCTCTGTTAAATGAAAGAGGAACCCACACTGGTCACAGAAATAACTTAATTTCATTTCTTTTCATTTATTTAAATGGGTAAAAAAAATCATTGAGATTAATAATCTCTTTTCCAAGAGTGACATGGCCACTTTGGCTGCAAAGGCAGTTACAACAACAAAACAAAAACAACAGTCATATGCCATAAACACAACCAAACAACATCCATACATAGTCCTAAACATACATCAATACAAAATAATTCAACAACAAGCAGTCACATTGCCCAATAGCATTAGTTTCACGTTCCTTTACAATAGATTAAAATTCTCCCATTGTAAAAGGTTATTCCATGAAACGCTAGCAGCATATTTGAATGCTGTCTCGCCCAGCTCTGCCCTGACCTTAGGACCTGTTATTTGAAGGAGTTTTTGAGAGCGCAAACCACAAAGCTGTTGGTTTTCACACAAGTATGCACAGAGGTAAGGTGGGAGGAGCCCAATAATACATCTGTAAACAAAAAAATAAACCTGTGCGAGAGCCTCAGGTCATACAGAGATGGATACATACCAACAGAATAAAGAGTGCAATGGAATGGTGAACATGATTTCCACAACCAGTAATAAAACACAGAGCACAATAGTACAGGTACACACTTTCCAATTTCTTTACGTGGTATGTAGGTGCATTCATAAAAAGCAGATTGCCATCATCCAATCAAGGTAAAAAAGTTGCAGAAATCAGGTGTGGCCTTGTTATATAAGAAAAAACAAGATTTGGTCTGACAGGAAAAACCCTAATTAAAGTTTCAGTTTTCGTGCAAGGCCCTCAATATGTGGTTTAAAAGACATAATAAAGATGTATGGTATTGTACTGTATATTTTGGTCAGTAACAAAACCTAAGTACCGAAAAGTAGTGCGTATTTGGATTTCTGATTCCTTGGTTGATTTTTTTTTCAATGCTCATTATTTTAAAAAATCGAATCTTAATTTCAGTCATGTGGAAAATAATATGTTCTACCACATCAACATAACGCTAATCGTATTGACCAGGTCGCGCCTCAATTTACAGGAAGCTGCCATGTTTCCCCGCCCAGTTTCTAATATGGATACACGACGGAGACAAACTTCGCAATCATACTTCCTAAACATCATGACTACAGCCTGTGTGACAAATTTCATGCATTAACTCTGTCACTTGAGGGGAAACTAGAAGTCATTTGAGATGATATTTTGCTTGCACTTCGGCTGAAAAAAAACGTGGTAATCTTGCAAAGTGTGATCTCTCTGAGGCACCGTAGTGCATACAAAATGCATATGCTAGGTTGTTGCTTTTAGGAAACACTTATTTTTCAGGCAAATCCGGGTCATCATACTGTTAAAAAGTTTGGTGTGATTCAATGAGTGGGTTTGTTCAGATAAAGACAAATTGGGGAACATTTCTGTCGGGCAAATCTATGAGGAGAGCTGCTGTATTAAAATAAAAATAAAAAAATCCATTGAAGGTTCTGGTGTCTCTGGGGTCCCCAAAAACCTTTCAGCCATTCATAAAACTATTTTGGCTATGCCATAATCAATGCCTATAAGGTGGAACCTTTAAAATGACCACCCATTTTTTTCAATAAATAATTTTGCATGTTAGGTTCATTGAAGACTCTCAATTGTCCTTAGGTGTGACTCTGAGTCTGAATGCATGCCTTTCTAAAGTTAAGGTGCCCTGCACTTGGTTGCCACACAAAAGTCAGCAGGGATAAACTCCAGCTCACCCACAACCACAGTGAGGATAAATGGTAAAGAAAATGGATTGAAGGATAGATGTTTTGGGCTGGACTAATGTGTGTGATGGGAGGGTGCCCAAAGGTGTAATCTCTGAGACTCTCTCTACATACTTGAACAATTGTCGATCAATATTCCACGGCACCAGACACTTTAAAGCACCCAAGGAATTTCTGCATAATTGCGCACCTAAAGTTGTACTACAATTCCTGCTACTGGTCTCTTTAAAGTGGTGCAACAATTATCTGCAACAACTGAACATCCGTCATAGTATTTTATTGCACCGCTGACCGCTTTGTCTCTGCTCGATGACTCTGCACATTGTCACACCGCTGTCATTGAGTGGTCCTACTGCACAATGGTACCCTCTGTCTTTGTCATAGTTGATTATTTGCAATACTAGTGTAGCCTATACCAACGGAGACAAATTCCTTGTGTGTTCTACATACTTGGCCAATAAAGATGATTCTGATTCTGATGAGAACTGTGCCTTCCGCAGTCAAGTCATTCTCATGCAAGACAATGCACCATCACAACCTGCAAAAATGACCATTGACACTTTAGCTACTATAGGTATGGAGGAAAAAAAAACCCCACAATCATTGTCTGATCTCAACAATATTGAGAACATGTGCAGCCTTAAAAAGAAGATGAGAGTGGATGGCATAGTATCTCCAAACAGTAACTCGAGAATTCTCAAATAATAGGCAGTAACTAATATCTCATTGAATTAGAAGATTGTCAAGGTGAGAAACGTGAGTTGTGGACTTCACGAAGGCAATCACACGCACAATATTCAACATTCAACGCAACGTCTTTACTTTTCCCACTGGACACACACAAACATGCACACGCACACGCTAGTGCAAACAATAATCAATGTGAGTGTGAATACAATGCATTTTGAAGGAGTAGGAGGGAACCAGGCCAAAGCCATTCATCTGGGGAACCCAGTAGTGCCCAGCATAGGCGACCCAATGATATGCACACAAGCATACGCAAACACATCTGATGTCCTTGTGCAAATCACAGCTCTTCACTTGGGGTGTTAAGTTGGTGAAGCACAAAACTATCAATCTTTATACAGCTGCATTGCTTGACCTGACCTTTGACTGACACACATGAGCGCGCACGCGCGCGCACACACACACACACACACACACACACACACACACACACACACACACACACACACACACACACACACACACACACACACACACTAAATCCCATGCTTCTTTTCTCCTTCCTCCATCTTTATCTCTTCCTCACAGACACAGTTACAGTATGCATCACTTTAACTGATTGGCATCTCTAAAAATGATAGCAATCGAGAGATACTGATGAACAGTGGACTAAAATGAGAAATGAGCTTCGATTTCCTTTCTGGTAGGTGCTGAGTTATGGGGAGGCTTTGTGCCTCACAAAAAAAAAAAAGGCTAAGGATGTGACTAAAATTGGAGATGTGCGCCAGTCAATAGTCTGAGTCCCATAAAGTAAAACGATCTACAAATGTCAGGGAGGTAGAACCAAACACAAAATAACAAACCACAAAACGTTGCTCTCACTTAGTACCTATTACTTTGTAGATAGACAAATACATAGATACATGGAGACAGACAGATAGATTGAAAAGACAGATAAGACAGAAAAGAGAAAAGAGAGACAGAACAGACAAAAAAGAAGACAGAAAAGAGATTGGAGACACAGATCGATAGATAGATATAGATAGATAGATAGGATAAGATGGAAACATAAGATATTATGGAACCAAATACTGCTATGCGGACGGCTATAGTGGCTACGTCATCCAAAGTAACGTAATACAAAAACGCCACTTTTGTGTCCAAGCCAAATCACGGTATAAAGGTGCAATGCTATGCCCTGTCTTGTCATACTTTGTAACAAATATGATGTCAATAAAATACCGACCCACCCCGATAGCGTCAACTCACTTGTCAGATGCTGCCACAATCTTATTTTGGAGGCCTTTGTTTCCAAATCTGATCTCTTCCACCGGCCAGTGCACTAACATTGACAAATCTATTTGAGTTGTACAAGTTCAAACCACGTTTCGTTGACTCCGCAAAATACACCGTCCTTTTGTGAAACATGACCGGCTCCTTGGCTACTGACATTGTGTTGACATGTTAGTTGCAGCAGCTTGGAACCGGAAATGACGGGTGATATCACACTAGCCATCCGGATTCCCCCCAAATACTTACCAGGCTGCGTTGCCGTGGGCACTGTCATCTAAGTGACAAAGCAGCTCCAGGGTTTGGGGGTTGTGGGCTGAGTCGTCAGGAGATTCGTGGCTTCCCGTTTCCCAATTGGTAGGCATCCGCCATACTGCTGCACAGGACACCACTCGGCTGTCACTGGCTGGATGGGAATGACATATTTAATTATTCACAGATTATACTGTCATTCAAAAAGGTAAACAGAGACACCGTGGACAGGTCACCAGTGAGTCACAAGGATGACATTGCAAAGAAATACATGTGAAACTAAAACTGCTTCGGAAATTTTACTTGTGGGGAGAAATTCTCTCCGGAGTGCCATTCCAACCAATGTAAGAAATTACGCAAACATTTTATGAGCTTCTTATTGAAAGAAAGGTGCCGGCAATCATTTACTCTACACACTCTAATACCATCTCAAAAAAGTGTTTTTCCGCCCATGACTTGGAAGCTTGGCTGTGCAAAGATCTGCCACATTCAGCCAGACGACACAGTTGAATGTTTAGTGAGGGAAATCAAAATGCATCAGCCAGAAGTGAATGGAGACGATGGCAGATCCAAGGGGAAAGAGTCGAACTTACTTTTGTTGTAGCAGGTGGTAAGTACTTCTTTGTCTGCAGGACTGGCACCAATATTCCATATCTCTCCAGCTTGGTGTAGAAGGACATTCTTATTAATGATGTTATTCTCATCATCAAAGTCAATGATGTGGATCTTGAAGGAAGGACAAAAGAAAAAGAAAAGAAATGGACTTCATTTCCATTTAAGTAATCTAAGAGCACATCAGATGTCAATAACAGGCTTGCAAATAAAGTTGTAAAAGTACGATGTACTCATCGCTCAGCATTTGAGTTCCAGTTGTACTGATGCGGCATGGTGAAAGTAATGTGATATAAAAGAAATAAAGGTTTTCTTCTTCTTTTTCTTCTTCTAATCCTCATATGTAATAAATAGGATGGATATTGTAAGCATTTTGTTGTTACCAAACCCCTCATTACAGTAGTTGAATAAGCCATAATTCTTGACTTCTTTATATGATTTCACAGTCATAACGGCTCTCCAATGAAAACAGTAACTAAAATGTGGCCCACGACAAAAATGAGTTTGACACACCTGCCTAACTTGTCATTCACGATATAGTGGTCCTCTATTTCTGTTTGGCGATTCGGACAGCCAGCTAACGACTTGCTTGTTGTCCCATAGCATGTGACCACCATACCTGTCCTAATGGACTGGACACCACTACAAAATGGTGTAACCCCTTAAGAGTGCACTATATAGGGAATAGTCTGCACATTCAGACACAGCCATTGTGTCTCCAGCGCGTCCTGTGTTGACCCCGGGGCCGAGTACAGAGAGGGTGTGGACCATCTAGTGGACTGGTATAAAGATAACAACTTGTATAAATTTGAAGAAGACCAGAAAGATGGTGATGGGCTTCAAGAAGAACATATGCCCCTTCTCCCACCTGCGCATTGGAGGTGCAGCAGTGGAAGTGATCTCTAGCTACAAGTACCTTGGGGAACACCTTTCTGAGGACATCCCCTGAAGCCAAAACACTCCTGTCTGCTAAAGAAGGGTCACCAACATCTCTACTTCCTCCGGGAGGTGCGACATGAATGGACTGGGGAGCTGTCTCTTGAGGAGCTTCTACAGATGTGTGGTGTGGAGAGTGTCCACGGCAACAGCATCACGGTGTGGTACAGTGGCTGTTTGGCTCCGGAAATGAAGGCGCTTCAAAGGGCTTTAAAGGCTGCTCAGAAGATTGTTAGGAACAGCCATCGCTCAATCAAAGACATCTTCACCGTCAAATGTGGGAAGATTCCTTTCTGCATCATCAAGGGCCCAAGCCACAGCACACACACCACATCTCATCCTCTCCCCTCGGGCAGGAGGCTACGGATCATCTGGAGCAGTGCCAGGTTACTTTTTGCAGTGGTTTGCAACATCAACATCACAGTGATGCATATTTGTATTATAATTTGCCCTGTAAAATCATGATTTAAACATGTTAACAAGTAAGCATGTTATAGGATGAAGTGAAAAAGGAAAAAAGATTTTCTCTGCAAACACCCAGCAAAAGTGTCTCATCTAGGTGCATGCTTTTCTGTAACCATACATGCTAATTTAAGTAAAAATCTTTCTGCCTTGGATGCATTCTAAATATATATATACATATATATAGTATATAGGTACAGTATATATAATATATAAAGTA